GGAAACATTCTGGTGTTGCTTAAAGAAACTGCCTCTCCGTTAACCCTTATTAAATTCTTGGCAGGACTAGACTTCCTGTCTCAGGAACTTCTCTGGAGTTTTTCCCCCCTCCTTTGCTGGTACTTTGCTTGTGTGGAGTGACCACTCAAAGTTACAATGGCACTGAAAAAAGTGACTTATGACCCTTTTTCACACTTACGACTATTGCAGCATCCCCACAGTCACGAGAGGCCAGGCGAGGAGATGCGTGAGTGATATTGAGTTGGCCACGCCCAGCCAATAACATGACCACCAAGCCATGCCCACCAATTAAGCCACGCCCACAGAACCGGTTGTTAAAAATTTGAATCCCACCCCAGGGTGGGCAGAAGGATCGATGATGGACAGGCAAGACTGCCCCGCTCAGGCTAATTCTTGCAACAGGTTGGTTTGACTGCCCCGCCCAGACTAAGCGGTGCTCCATGCCATTGGTGTTTTCCTACAGGAGGTCCAGATAGATAAGCAATTGGAAGCCGGCCTTCGTGTCACCGTGCGCCTGGGGAAAAAGCAGAACGCAGGTACGGTTTGACAAGTCCTCCGTCTCGCCTCAGAAACTCACATGCAAACCTCTGACCAGGCCCGATGCCTTTCCCTTGGCAGAGAACAAAACGCAGAAGGGTGTTGTCGTATCGTCACAAAATCCCCGCACCGTCTCTGGCTTTTACTGGGGCTACAGCGTCCGATTAGCTTCGTGTCTGAGTAAGTCTGCGTTCCCTTTTCTCTCTCTCTTCCAGTAAAAGTTTTTTTTTTACCCCAAAGCTGGGAAGGGGAGAGACGGAACTGAATGCCAAATAATGCTTTAAGGGAGACCTCTTGAGAATAACGGGGAGAAAATATGTTCTTACTTTCCCATTTCTTCATTCCTTCCTTTATCCTTTATTCATTCTTTTATTCTGTCTTTGTCCCTGAAGCTGACCAGTTTATTTTTTTTGCGTTCAAACTTTGAAGGAATGAACGGTTCTGCCTTGGGGATATCGGAGTGTAAGTGACAACTTTCAAAAGTTGTCTTTCTTCCTCACCAGGCGCCGTCTTTGCCGAATCCCCTTTTAAGGATGGCTACGATCTCTCCATTGGAACCTCGGAGCGTGGATCCTCCGTAGATGAAGCCGCTCTACCTGCCTTCAGGTAGCCACCGTGGATTTTCCGGGTTACGTTTTATGCTAAACCTGTTGCAAGAATTAGGAACGTCCGGCCTAAAAAAAGAAAATTACTAAGAGAAACGAGATAGCAGTCTTCCAATATTTGAGGGGCTGCCTCAAAGAAGAGGCGCGGGGGTCAACTTAATTTTCCAAAGCACTGGAAGGCAGGACAAGAAGCAACGGATGGAAACTCAACACGGAGATAAGCAACCTTGGATGAAGAAGAAACTTCCTAACGGTCATGAATGCTCCAACGCTGGGAGTTTTGGGAGAGAGCCATTGGTCCAGAAGGTCTCCTGGTTGAGCAAGGGGTTGTCAACCAATGGGACCACTGGTGGTCCGTGAGAAAATTGTGGTGGTCCTCAGAGAAATGTATTAATTAATTAATTGATTAATAAAAGCAATTAATCCAGGGTGTGCGGGAACACAAGGCAGCGCCACCCACATGGCCCACGGGAACACAAGGCTTGCGTCACTTGCATTGCGAGCACGAGGGGAGGGGGGAAACGGCGGAGGGGAAGAACTTGCCCCACGCGCCTCTCCTGCCCACCGGGGCTGCTTCTTTCCGCTTCTTTCTTCTGCTTTTTGGCTGCATGCAAGGAAAGCAGCTAAAGTCTTTCTTTCTCTCCCCCAAACTCTGCCACAAATGAGTCTTTGGGACCCTGTAAGGCATCCTGCTCCAAGAGGCTGT